ACTCGGGAACGCCAGGAAATCTGGGAAACCATTGCCTCTCCGCTAACCGAAGGAAATTCCAATTTGTTTCCATTCCTCAGAAAGGTGATCACCAGAGAATGAAGAACCTCATTCGGTAGGCTGGTAGCATAGTGGATTATGAGCGGGGCTGCTAACCACAAGGTCAGTAGTTCCAATCTAACAGCTGGTCCGGGGAAGAAAGAAGAGGCTTTCTGCTCCCATAAAGATTTATAGCCCTGGAAACCCTGTACCGGGTCACTATGAGTCAGAACCAAACTTTACTAAACTTTTACTAAAAAAAACCCCACAGCTACTGAGTCAAGTTGTTAAGTGCCATAGAGTCGGTTCAGACTCCTAGTGACTCTGGATAGGGCTTCCGAGGAACAGCTAATGGGTTCGAACCACTGACCTTAGGGTTAGCAAGTCCAGTGCTAATCCTACAGCACCACAACAGGCCTTCATTCTGACTCATAAGGTTTCTGAAGCTGTAAATCTTTAGGGAGGCAGATTGCCTCTTCTTTCTCCCAAGGATCAGCTGATGGGTTCGAACTACCGATCTGTGGGTTAGCAACCCCAGGCTTATGCCACTGCACCACCGGGGATCCTTAAAGTTTTTGCTCATTCAAAATTTTATTTTGCTGACTCAAACAGATAATTTTTAAAATAGCTGCAGCAGTGCATTGACAAGGAACGGATGAAAATTCAATCCGGATTTAGAAAATGTCTTGACACAAGAGTGAGCCTTGCTGACGTCAGCTATATCTTCACTGAAAACAGAGGATACCAGGAAGATGTTTACTTGCGTTTTACTGACTATACAAGGGAATACAAATGTGTGGGTCATAACACACTGTGGAGAACAATGTGAAGAACAGGATTTCCAGAACACTTCACCGTGCTCATGCAGAACCTGCACACAGACCAAGAGGCAGTCGTTTGGACACTACAAGGAGGTAGTGTGTGATTTAAAATCAGGAGAGGTTCACATCAAAGGTGCAGTCTTTTACCATATTTACTGAATCTGTCTGATGAACAAATAATCTGAGAAGGTAGACTATCTGAAGGACAAGTCATCAGCACTGGAGGAAGACTCACTAACATCCTTGTTGAAAGTGAAGAAGACTTCAACATCAAGAAAACAAAAATCCTTACAACTGGACCAATAAGCAATGTCATGACATACAGAGAAAATACAAGGGAATTTCAAAACTTTTGTAGAAAAATGGAATTACAAAATAAAAATAAAATATATGACTTTATCTCTTAACATAAGCTCCATTAAGATCAAGGCACGTTTGTAAGCAATGATACCAATCAACAAGTTATTTAGTCCATCCCTAGGAATTTAACAATAATGTCAATGAGATGGTTTTTACATTAACTGAAGGAAAATACCCCTCAAAAATCCACTGAGCATCATTCTTTCACCCAAGCTTCATCATTTTTTTTTTTCATATTTATTCTTACTTCAATCTTAGCAGAAATCATGTTGCTCAGATGGGGGATCCTTCTTAACCTTCTTAAGTGCCTCAAACTAGGTCCTGTTCAGACGTAATAAAAAATGTTTGAAATCCATGCATAGTTCCTTTTCATAATAAGGAGGGTCAGAGGAAAAGAGGAAGACCCCCAACAAGATGGATGCGTACAGTGAAAACAACAATGGGCTCAAACGTTGGAAACAACTCTGAGGATGGAACAGGACCGGCACTATTTGGTTCTATCGTGCATAGGGTCGCCGTGAATTAACACAACAATTTTGTAACTTAAAACTTTTCTTAGGGAAAAAAATATCTAGGTCAAAGATTACTACTCCTTAAAAAATGAATAATAATCTTTGACCTAGATTTTTTTTCCCCCTAAAAAAAAAACTCTTTAGTAATTTATGTAAAGATCTATAGACATTTATAGTGCTGTGGGTTAATGCACTAGACTGCAAGGCTGGTTTGAACCGAAAGGTCAGTGATTCAAGCTCATCAATTGCTCCCTGGAAACCTGATATGGGGTCACTATGAGTAGGAACTGACTCGATGGCACTTAACAACAACAATAACAATACAAGGTCTTTTACTAATTTGTTTATTTTTCAGAAAATAAGCATTTTTTTAAAGTTTTCATTAAAAATATGCCTTCAGATGTTGGTTGCATAAGTGTGTTTGACACCTTAGAACTATATACTTTTCTGTATACAAGTTAGACTTAAATAAAGAGTTGAAAAGAAAGCACTTATTTTGTAAGTACTCAAGTAAATATTTCCATGAGTCGTAGTACAAATAACACAGAGGGGAAATGTATGTGTGCAGTAAGTAAAAACATAAGGATCTGTTTACGAGTTGGGCTGCTAACCTTAAGGTCAGCAGTTCGAAACGACCAACGGTTCCGTGGGAGAAGGATGAGGCTTTCTGCTCCCGTAAAGATTTACAGTCTCAGAAACCCTATACAGGGTCACTGCATCGGAACCGACTCCACGGCACATCACACCAGCACCAAGAGGTGCAAACATAGCTCATCCAAGTGTGTACCACTATTAATATGGAAACACGCAGCTGACTGCCAAGATAAAAATATTTAAGATCACACTTTAACTCAGAATACAAGAGAACAATTTTAATCGAAATGAAAAGGCAATACAATAGAAAAAGCAGCTGCCACACTAGGGGTTCTCTTTACTCTCACATTAGAATGCTAATGATCTGCTTTATCCAACAGCTACACATGGAGCTCTAGAAGTAATGGAGCAGCCTTGACCTCACATTATTGGGGTTCACAAACTACTTTCCTACCAGAATGCTCCCAGAGTAAACCATTCTCTATCCAGAGTAAGAAAAGTCTGAGTTGGCTGGAAAGGGTGGAGGAGCCGCTGTTTTAAGTTATAAAGTAACATTACACACCAAACTGACTGAATTTTTTCAGGAGTATTAAATATGGTAGCTGAAGCCCTTTCTGCTGGCAATTAACATAAATTCAATGTTGATGGGAACTTTATTGGTGTCACGATCTTTAATTTGACTGTATTTTATTGCACTGGAAACAGCACCGGTTTCATTATTTCTTACACTATAATTATCACTAATGGATTTTACCATAATGAGATCCCACCTGTATTTTGGATTATTTGCTCGACTTGTTTCTTTTTATCACAGCTGAAACACAACTGCACAGAACACCCCAGCTCTGATTACCCCTTTTGTTTGCAAGTGATTTATAGGAGACGATTTTAAGCTCTGCTGTTGGCCTGTAAACCCTTCTGCAATCTCACGCCAGTATTTCCCCAGGACTGCTCCCTTCCCTGCCTTGAAGCCCATCAAGTTCTGTTTGTCAGGGGATAACACTTGGCAGCAGATTTAACGTTGGGTTTTCACAGCAAGCCAGGTCATGTCTTCACTGTCAGCTTCCACTGTGGAAACACTCGGCACCACATTACTCATGATCCTGGGCTTTGTAAAACCACCTCTCAACATAACAATGCTTGCTCCCCACAAGTTAATCCCAGTCTATCCCAAAGTGTCAAGGAAGCCCCCTACAAAATAGCAGGCTTAGTTTCACAAACACATATCACCTGAGAAACGTTAAATTCTATGGTCATAAAACACAAGGGGATTGGAACTGCCATTGGAACGAGGAAAGACAACAGTGTTAGCCTTATCCTGGAGCTGTGATGCCAGCATCATTAGAGTATTTCTAGGAAAGGAAAAGTGGCCAGACCATCCCGATGTGCTCTGAAAAGGAAATCTTCATTTTCCAAGACAGCAGACATAGCTTATTTACATTTTCATGCAACTACGATTTTTAAGCTGAGAGGTGATAAAACACGCATTCAGAAGCGATTTAAGAAGATAATTATATTTTTGCTGACTATATTCCCTCACAAGGAGTCCTGGCTGAGCTGTAGGATAAACACAGAACTGCTAACCGCAGAGTTGGAGGTTCAAACACACCAGCTGTTCCGCGTGAGAAAGATATGGCTTTTTGCTCCTGTAAAGAATTACAGCCTTGGACACTCTACACAGAACGCTGAAAGTCAGATTCAACTCAGTGGCAGTGGTGTGGGTTTGGCAGTTACTCACTGTAGTTTTAGCTGGTGGGACCCCCTAACGGGGACCGTAGTCCTGGTATGGTGCTGTAGGATAATGCATTGGGCCTCAAGGCCAAGTCAGTGGTTCAAACTTACCAGCTGTTTCTTGGAAACCCTAGACAGGGTTGCTGTGTGTCGGAACTGACCCAGGACACTAGCAGCAGCCCCCTAACCAGGAATGTGAATTGCCAAGGAGTTATGGTGTGGCACTGTAGGATAAGCACTGAACCGCAAGATCAGGCAGAATTGCAAGGTCAGTGATTCAAACTCACCAGCCGCTCCTCGAAAACCAACTAGACACCACTTAATAACAACAACAGTACGTAAATGTGTAACTGTGAGTGGAGTACTTATGCATAACTGGTACCTCCGCCATCTAAGTGGCTGAGAAGTTAGATTGTGTGGCCACCATTTCCTCAAGTTTATTTTGTTCTCCAGTGCTTGTCATCTCCCTAACATACTAAGTTCCATCTGTAATAGCATATTACACTACTTTTTAAAACAGCAGGAAAATGTCAGAGAACACCCAGTTCATGTTAATCAAACAACAAAATCAAAAGGACAAGACAAGTGTCTCTTCCCTAAGATAGTTCAGAATATTCTCCAAAGGAAGCTAAGTGTGAAAGGCCCTCTCATCTTCACACAAATAGAACAGAAAATACACACAGCAGAATTTTAGGAGAGTTCAGGAACTTCTGGATCTTTCCCAGAAAGGAAAAGCAGCTAAAGAAACTCGTTCAGAGAGAAAGTAGACCACAGCTCAGCAGTACATTCCAGGGCCTTGGGTCTTTAACCTAGAAACATTTTATGAATAGTAATCAACACAAAGCCTTTAGGTGGCCCAAGAATCCTTGGACGCACCTCTCCTGGAAACTTGCTCTCACTGGGACTGCCATCCCAGGATGCTTGGAGGGGGAGGCACACCCACCTGGTCACATCCTGCATTCACCAGTTCCTGTAGCATTTGTCGGTTTACTTCTGCAGCTGCAGAGGTGCCCGATTCATTAGCGAAAGGCAACAAAGAATATCTGATTTCCCGCAAAGCCTTCTGGTAAGGTCCAAACTTTGGGGTGCCTCTCATCTGCTGCTGCTGCCTGGCAGCATCCTTGCCCCCCAGGACCTTGGCATCCAGGGAAGGGTCATTGTTTGGTCCCACGGGTAACCCTTGAGCAGAAGACTTGGACGGTTGCTTTAAGCCTTCACGAATCTCCTGTAATCGCTGCCTGCTATTTCCAGAATAAGCCGTGGCAGGAAAAGTCTTTGGCCTCATTGTTAATCCAGTTTTCTTTTACTATAAATACAATCTTCTTAAAGTGTTTTACTATTAGTTAAAAAACAAAAAACAAAAAAACAAAAACTGTCAGTATCAGTTCTTTGTAAACATATTTTCAAAGCAACTTCTTTGTGAAATTTTTATTTCCTTCAGTTTTCGTAGTTCCCATAGAAAACCTAAACTTTCCAGAGTCTTCATTTTGAAGATCTGAAGATCTGAAAAAGAAAATAAATGGGAGAAAAATGTTCATTTGTGGCTTTCAGGTAATACTGATACTTTTTCAAAAACAGACTGTGATCTTGGAATGATTCCACTTGAGATGATTAAGAACCAACACACCGCCCGCTAAGAAATGACAACAATACTGCTAAACTCTGGTTAGAGCCCATGAGCCCAAGATGTCTTTTGTTAAAATGCAATCAGCAATAAAGTAAATCTCCACAAGCTGATATCAGTTACAAATAGTCAACTCAAGGCAAGGACAGTAGTATTGAAAAATGACAGCTTGCTTAGAATGCTTCCTCATAATATAATTTCACTTTGAAATCCTATAGCTTGAGTATTCATGGTTAAATTGTGTAGATGAGGTCTTGCATTTCTCACTTGTTTCTATGCACCAATTTCGATTCCCAATCTATTCTGTGGGCCCTTTTCCTTGTTGCTTTGGTAACCTCCTACCTACCTGAAGCTATGGTCCTTCCATCTCTTTGGAAATCTCTCTCTGTAAAACCCTCGCAATCCTCCTGAAGAACACCACAAAACATGATATCAAAAAGTGTCTACATTTCAGTGAACAGCAGTTCCAACACAAGCGTTTTGACACTGACAGCAATGACTACTGCCTAGATTTTCTTACAGGGTAACCATTTCTCAGCAACACAGAAAAGATCTGATAAACATATCTGTGATCACACTAACAGCAAAAGGCTCTGGGTAAAAGTTATACTGGTATAGACCACCTACGATTCCAGCACATAAACTCCACCATTACCTGAACCTAGATGTCATCTTCCCACCCCTCTGCACACAGGATTGACAGGGATGGGCAACTCAGACAATGGCTACCTAAAATGGGGGGCTATAAAGGCACGAAGTGACTGGCTTACAAGTTTTCAAGAGGGAATTTAGTTTCAGAGGGTGTGGGGGAAGGTAGAATCTCCACTGAGTGGTTTTCAACCTGTCCAGATGAGGCTGGTGAAAGGAGATGGGGATAAGACTCTTGTGGTTCAATAGTGAATAACTGCTATCAGGACTGACTGTGATTGCTGCAACTGTGAAGGTAGACATTTTGTAACAAAAGAAGGGGAGTGGCTGATCTTGCAGTCCAGGAGAGGAAGACCCTGGGACCATCAAGGGAGAAGAGCAGGAGCGGAGTGTAGGATCCTATTCAGAGAAGCAGCAACGCCAGAGATGGAGGCAGAGATGATGATGTGGAGAGGTGGAGCGGCTGGGGACTCTGGACTCAGGAGGGCGATGGGCTGTGTGCTGGTGGCCAGGAGGCAGGATTGCAGGGTGTACCCTTTGGTTGTTTGAATGATTGTTTATTCCTGAGTGTTTCGGTGTACATCCAAAAAAACCCACAAAACACAGAGGGAATAGAAGCAAATACTGTTGGATGACTATGCGTGGAGGGGATTGTAACCATTGCAATGAAACAAAGTAAGATAGGATGAGTGTAAAGTTGATGTTCTCCCATGAAAACTATCACTCAATTCACAAGGTATTTTGCAATCGGGAATTATACCTCTTTTCTGAAAACAAACCAACCCAACACTCAACCTGCAGCCAAACTGCTTGCAGCCAAGCTGACAGGAGGCTGTGTCCAGTTCCAGCCATATACTGGCTGTGTAACCTTGGACAAGTAACGGAACCACCCTCGTATCAGCACTCTCATCAGGAAGGAGACAGTGTTTAGCGAGTCATGCAGAGTACTGAGTAAGAGAATGAAGGTAGCTGGTTCAGCAGCCCTTAGGATACAGATGCAGCCTCTAAATTGCAGTTAGCTACTATTCTTGTTGGAGTACTGGTGTGGTGCCAGACTGCAAAGCTGTTTGAACTGCACGGTCAGCGGTTCAAACTCACCAGCTGCTCCTTGGGAAACCTATACAGGGTTGCTATGGGTCGGAACCAACTCGACGGCACTTAACAACAACTATTCTTATTATTATTATTCATATAATACATTGTTATAAGCTAAACTTTAATAGTGGGGGCATGGATAGTCCGGTGGTACAAATCTCACTTTCCTCCCAGTAGACTTGGGGGTTGAAGTCAATGTACCCATTTGTTAGTGGAGGCTTATGTGCTGATATGTTGCTGAACAGGTTTCAGACGAGCTTCCAGACTAAGATGGGCTAGGAAGAAAGGCGACCTATTTCTAAAAATCAGTGGATTTGGAAACCCAGCGGATCACACAAGTCCGATTCCCAACCAGATCATGGGGCTGACACAAGATTGGGCAGTGCTTCCAACCATTGTGCCCAGGGTCGTCATGAACGGGGGGCTGACTCGATGGCACCTCACAACTACAGCAAGCAGTGGGAGCAGCTGTTGGTGCAGGCAAAACTGTAATAAGCATGCTCTGAGCCCTAACTGCTCCTTCCCACTTTCTTGTCCCTTTCCTGGTCCATTCCCTCCTAGCCCACAGAACATCCAATGAGCTGACTCTAATGGATAATCGCTCTTAGCTTTATGAAACACAGAGAAACTGATCCAGAACAAGCACCCTTGAGCTGGCAGATGGAGGAGGGACCTGGCATTTTAGCTTAAGTATGGAATTTTATAATTGCAGAAGGGAACTCGACTCTACAGACTTTTTTTCTGCAGAAAAGTCAAAATGATGTCTCTTACTTCTTAAGCACTTACTATGTGCCAGGCATTGTTCTAAGAGTCTGATGTGAATTAAGTCATAAAGATAGATGGTCTAACCACACGTAATAGTAAGCACTCAGAAATGACATTAAAATTCTTGGGGAAGGGAGAGGAGTGGGGGGCAGTCTTTAAAAGTTTGAAAGGCTCCCTTTCTGACCATAACTGCGAGAAGATTCTACTAGGTAGGTCCAAATCCAGTTCAGAAAGTTTTTCAACGTGAGATTAAGATTTCATATGCAACTGCTGGGAGAGTAAAAGTCAAGGAAACAACTGCCCGACCAGGGGCAGCTGAGCGCCCTCTGTGGCCTGTGCTGGCGGGCAGCTCCCCTTCACGGCTGGTGTAAGGTGAACATACTGAAACCACATGCACATTCAGTGACTTAATGGGGTAAGCAGCTTGTTTTGAAATGCCAAATTTTCTAAAGCTGTAAGTTCACATTCCGACAGAAAAGGAAGATTCTCAAGGAGCAGCCAAGCACATGTGGGGAATTCGAGACAAGACTCGTCTAGAGACGGTTAGCTCTTTGTCAAGAGGAATTCACATACATCCGCTGGTTTCTAAGCTTTGCTTATCTTCTTGCCTTTCCCTGAAAACTTTACGACAGAGGACTATAAGTCAGGGACTTTGAACAACAAAGAATTGATGCAGATATGTGGGAAGATTTTCAGGGTCAAAATGTCCCCATCTCCCCATCTGCCATCATCTACCCACCATCCTTCACTCATCCAGCCCACAGACACACAGATGCAAACATCTATTAAATGCCTACTAAGCCACCGTCACTGCTAAGATGAAATACAACAAAATGTGCCCTTAGGTGAGAGGTGAGTGTGAGGCCAGCAAATAAAGGGCTTCAGAGAATAAGAGATGCCCAAGAGGAAACAAAAAAAATCAAAGGAGAAAGTCTGGAAACATTTCATAGTAGAGATGTTGTTAAGTGCCGTCAAATCAGTTCCGATCCTATATAGAGTTTCTGATGGGCAGCTGGTGAGTTTGAACCACCGACCTTGCATTCAAACTGACCTTGCAGTCCAGCGCATTATCCCACAGCAGCACCACAACAGGACTCCACAATAGAGATTACTACTAAATTTGAATGTTGGGAGGAGCCCTGGTGGTGCAGTAGTTAAGCACTCAGATGCCAAGATTCAGACCCACCAGCTGCTTCATGAAATAAGGATGTTCTAAGGAGCTCTGGTAGCGTAGTGGTTACGAATCGGGCTGCGAACCTTAGGGACAGCAGTTCGAAACTACCAGCTGCTCCGCGGGAGAAAGATGAGGCTTTCTGCTCCCGTAAAGATTTACAGCCTCAGAAACCCTGTACAGGGTCGCTATGGGTGGGAACCAACTCCACGGCACATAACAACAACAACAACAACAGGAGAAAGGTGTGGCTGTCTATGTCCCTAAAGATTAAGGTCTTGGAAACCATGTAGGGCATTTCTACTCTGTCTTACAGCATGGGTCTCTCTAGGAATCAGATTTAACTCGACAGCAACAAGTTTGTTTTGTTTTTGTTTGCTATGGTTGTTTTCTGAGTGTTGGGAAGGATGGCATTCCAGTCAGAGGGAAGAGCATATGCAAAGGAACAGTATATGTGCGCGTGAGGCTCTTCCTGGGGAGTCATGGTGCTGGGAGGCGGTGGAGGTGACAGGGGCTGACTACTCCAGGGTCTCTGAGGTTCTATTAAGAGACTGGGATTCCTACAGAAGGTGGGGAACTACTATCATTGTTGTTGTTAAGTGCTGTTGAGTCAGTTCCAACACATAGTGACCCTGTATAGGGTTTCCTAGGCTGGAGAGCTTAAACTGCCGACCTTGCAGTTCAAACCGACCTTGTAGCCCAATGCATTGACCCACAGCTCCATACCGGAACTGCAGGAACCCTCTGGCTGTATTTACATCAGAGAGTGACATGGCCCAGTCTGTGTGTAGAAAGTTAGGTCTGGAAGTCAAACACAAGATGGGTTGGAAGGGCTAATGGTAACACTCCAGGCAGAATTGATGGCAGCCTGGTTTGGGCTGAAAGATACAGAAGGCGAGTCATCAGCATTTGGGACACTGACACAATCTGCCTGCACCCCCGTGAAGTGGGGCGGTTAGGTAGAGCAACGGGCGTGTCAAGCCCCCTCGCCAAG